GTATCGTCGGTGGCGTGTACCGGGCTTTCAAGCGAACGGCCGTAAGTCGCTCAAATTGGTATGGATTTCCAGTCCAACACCTCGATTGTCCCCGGTGAAGAGTGCTTCGCGAGCATACATGAATTCACGCCTCAAACACACGGTGTGTACGGGCGCGCGGCGTAGTCCTCTCTCTCTCTCTCACTCTTCGTTTTTCCCTCCTCGCCCACAGGCTTCTTGCTCTTCTCTCCCTCGCCCGTCGTCGCCCCGCGCGCGTTTTCACCTCTTGCTCGCGCCCTCCCTCTCGACGATCATTCCCACTCTCTCTTTCCCGCGCTCGTAGAGGTGTCGCCGGAGCAAAATCTTGCCCGGGCTGGTGTGCATGAATGGGCCAACGGGACTTCGTGGTGTATATACATACATAGTGTATACACGAGCGCACAACGCGCACGGCCAGCCAGCCACGAGGAGGCCCTGATTGCGTGCCGGTGAATGCGTTTCCACCCGTTCCTCTCTAAGTAGCAGCTCATTCCGCGATGCTTGCTCTCGCGACTTGGAAAACGAGAGAAGGTAGAGCTAGCTAGCTAGCTAGGCTTCTCTCTCTCTCTCTCTCTCTCTCTCTCTCTCTCTCTCTATCTCTCGTGTCGCCAGAAGCTCTTCGAAGCCACGAGTGCGTGGGTCCACGGGGTTACCCTGGCGTCATCACCGACACATCTCGTTCTAGCACAAGCATCTTCCACTGAACCCACCCCGATCTCGGGGATAGAGTTTATTTTTTATCCTCCCCCGTTTCAGTCCCACCCTGTCGACCCGCTCTTTTCATCGGCCGCCCGGGGAAACGTCCTCACCTTTTTTTGCTATTTACGCCCGGTAATTATTTGTCGTCGTGCCACCCAGGCCGATTACCCAGTCCTCGTTACCATTCCACCCTGGCCTGTCAGGAGCTATCGAGAGAGAACATATATATGGAGCTGAATCGTGGGTAGCAAGTCGTTCCGCGTGAGAGCTAATTACGCGTCTCGTCTAATTTTGAGATCCTTGGGTGTAGAGGGACCCAAGATGTATGGTTATCGTGTGATTTTTGATACAGACAAGGATTACTTGTAGGCTGGAGGGCTAGAAGGTCTACCACTCGAGGAGCTGTGAATAGCCAGGTGACAAATGCCGGAAACGGGAGCGTGTAATCGACGCTCGAGCTGACTCGACTCGGGAAATTGCACCGTTGAACGGCCAGGAGGACACGTCTCCTGGCCGTGTCCTGAATGGTCGAACGGCAAACGGGGCTCTCGTTCGGCTTCCAGGGGGAGGAGGTGGAGCAAGAAAGAGGGCCGTGGTGGCAGGGCAAGGACGTCTTTCGAGGAGTAACCACAAATCCTAGTATAATACTAATAGGCCCATAATGGAGTCAATAGGGCTTAGCCGCGCGACGACAATGAGATCTTGTCAAAATACGCCCGGGGGTAACACGAGACCTAGGAAGTGGATTTTTCTCAATGGGAAAGGCCCCTGTCTTGTCACCGGTGGCGCGCGGCCCGTGGACGTATATATTGTCGTGGGTTTTCAAAAAATCTGAAACCTTTTCACCGCCGTTGGACGGCGCGCTGGATTGTGGTTTAAGTTTCACGTTCCCGGGAAGGGCGGAACCCGTGGAAAAACGGAACGACGGAGCGGATTATAATGCCCCCCACCCCGTGACACGCGTTTCAGTTGTGGCTTCAAGTGAACAGCGCTTTGGATGGATTTCAAAGGTTGAGAAATCGGTGACGATCGCAATGTCGAAGAATTTACTTTAATATTAGCAATGCTTACTCGAGAGATCATCTGTTCCTGCGTTGTTTGCTTATGATGCATATTCACCGTCGTTAATTAATAGTTCGTTCATTTATAATCCTTTTGTGGATATATTATCATCGCTGTCGGAGATTGCTAATACGATAGCGAGCAAATAATTCTATTACCGAAAACAGAAACAATAAAGCAATACATACGTCATGCAAAAAATATTGTTGTGACCTAACTCAGGAATTGGACATATCAATACAATCAGCAAGCCCTCATAAACGGGGACTCTTGGACAATCTTGCTGTTCCTAAGAACAGTTGTTTGTTGCATCTCAACACCCAGAAACAATACGTCAAGCCCCACTTCTTCTACCTCATTCCACGCACAGACACATTCAGCAAGTATTCAGCAACACAAATTATTACAAATCACTGAAAATCACATAACGTTACCATCCTCACTCGCGATATCTTCCAAAGAACTGCACGATATCCGTTTACCATCGAGCAGTTATCGCGACCAAACCGCAACGAATATCCTGGACGCGTGAAAAATCATTTCATTCGATAAAGCGTCGAAACAGGTGAGAAAAAAAATCGTGTACTCGAGAAGGGTTAACCTCCATTACAGTATCGCCCGAATATCTCTGCTCAAAATTTCCCGCGGCCCGTCGCTCCCGAGGCTTGTTAAGTGCCCCGACGTCGGAGCATACTTTTCTGGGTTAATTTATCAAACAAACGCGCGAACTCGACGCAACCTCGGCATCCCCATTTTAAGACGTCGGCTCGTTAAAGTCGTTTGAGGGTGGAGTTCCGCCGCCGCCCCCGGTGTGGTCGCCAGCCAGGCAACTACAACTACCACCCTGGGCCGGTACGTTCCTGAAAACGCGAACTTTGCGTTCTCCCTTACACCCCTCCCTCCTGTACCGCCCCTACCGCTCTTTATCGCCCCGTCGACCGAGCCCCTAACCTTCTTAGGAACGCGGGAATCTTTTTCAACCCCTGTTTTTCAGCCTCCCGACCGACGTCGTTGGTACGACTTTATTAGAGAGAAACGGGTGTCCCAGGCAAAACATCTTAATAGATGGACGCGATTTTCACCAGTGCGCCCTGAATGGATCCGCACAACCTCCCCCTCCAATCTGTCTGACGCGTGGCGGCTTTTCACGAAAAAAAAAAAAAACGGTGGCAGCAAAAAAAAAAAAGGAAAAACACGCGGCAACCAGCAACGGGTGTACCACGTCCACACAAAGTGGATACAGAATCCGTTCGCGCGATTAACAGGCGGATTTGTCGCGTCACGCGCGCGGTCGCAGGGCAATTAAATCCGCGGCGGAGCTAACGAGAGTGGGAGACCTCGCGCGCCCGACCGAACGTCTGCGACCACCAAGGATCCCGGGCAGGTTTTCAAAATTGCCTCTAATTACGGATATCGCGCCTGTTGTTCCCGCGACGAGTGGCTTCCGGGCTTGTCACTCGTTACAGGGAAATTATGGTAACGTAATGATTAAGGCCCCTGCGGCGTTTCGCTGGCGCCTTTTCGAGGACTCTGGTCGTCTTTCTGTAATTGAATGGGTTATTGGGGATACAAAGGATGTTTGGAAAGTTTGTTAATTTTTTAGTTATGAGTAGACTGTAGAGGTTGCAAATTCATGGTTTTATAGGGTCGTTTACGACGACTGGGGCATTTTATTCCTCTCAGTATGAATGTCTTGAGGTTTGATGTGCAAGATATATTAAACTATACGATGTCTTCGCTTTGTTCTGTTTATTATTATAGTTAGTGTCTACTCTCTGATTCGTATGTACTAGAATACCTATCGCATATGAAGTGAATAAGCATCAGAAAATTATCGAAGGTCTGAAGAAATATAGTTTAGGGGATATTAAAGCTTAATGAACAACGTTCATGCTACTATAAAGTAATAAAAGTGGCTCGAAATGTGCAACTTTTATGAAACATAACTTATTCTTTATACAGACCAGGTGTCCTAATATTTACGAACGGCAGTGTATATACAATAGATACGTAAAATTTACAGTCCACTTAGAAGTGTAAAATAGAATGAAGTACATAGTATTTAATTTTTTCCTTTACCCTGAAATTAGGAATTTTTAACGATGATCTTAGAGAATGTAATATATAATCTTCTCTACTAATGGTTTTCATAAGCCAAACTGATGCATATTTTTTGAAGCTCCTAATTGTAATATTCTTCACACGTTAAATTTTATGTGTAATACATATTGTGATATAAAATCCACCTTTGCAAGCAACATATGTAATACAAATAATTTCTCCACTAACACCTCTGTCCATCGAACCTATTCAATATTATTATTACATTTTCACCAGCGCAGTACCATGCGACACATCACTTACTTTAAATCGAAATTTTTCATTACCTGACAGTAAAACAGGGAAGATCGATTCTTGATTAACGTGCTGGCACAAGAAATAGTTTCGAGTCCCGTTGATAATCATTCTAACGAGGTGACCTGGGTCACATCTATTCCCGCGCGAAAGAGGCCGGTGCTTTTTTTTAACGCGACATTTTAATTAATTAAATTACAGTTAATTCTCGTCGTGTCATTAAGAGTAGCGCATTCGGTTGCGAGCTATAGCGAACACGTGTTCCTCTCTATCTCTCTCTCTGTTTCTCTCTAGATCCCGAAAGCCCATTGAGACTGGATGAAAAATGTCTTACTAGGCGCTAATGAAATAATTGTCGAGTTAATTTCGCGAAGCCGTTAATCAGGGTCGAGCGTCGAGGCAGCCCGCGTGCCACCCTCCTTCGAAGCGCGTTTCGCTGAATTCTAGTTAATTTTTAGATGAAAATTTCATTTCCGCGATACTACACACTTCTCCCCTCTTTTTATTTTTCCTTCCAATTCCTTTCGCTGGTTTGCGTTCGTTCTAACGACGGATAATTATTGCAATGAATATTTGCGAATGTAATTTGCGCCAACGGGATACCATACCAGGCGAACCATTACGAGCAATGTTCTCGTGGTCAATTAAAAATTTTCAGCCAGTTTTGCCGCGCGATGTTTCCTCGTTAGAAAAATGACAAAAATGTATCTACCTTGAATTTCCATGACGGTGCTGCGCGTACCATTTGAATTGCTTGTTGCTCATTTCTGTTTCTTATCCTTCGTCATAAATCATTGCATATTATATTATTTAAATCGGGAGAACAGACTCGTATCTGTCTCTAATAAATACATTTTCTGTTCCAGGATTCTCTCAATCGAAGTGTTCGTTCTCAAATCCCAGTCCAGGTAAGGGTCTCATAAAATTATAAATAAACATAACTGACAAGATACGAACTGTAGTTGCACAGATATAAGTTATGAAAGTACAGTAAGACCACAGAAACACGAAGAATGTCTGTTCCAAAGATTTTTTCCAAATTTATTAGAATGGGATGACGAACAGAAGGCGTCGTCGTACTTATTCGCGACAATAGAGCTATTTCACGAGCTCCACACTGAAAGAGGAACTCGGTTCTGTCTATTTTCGGCGAAGAGAAAGATCACTTTTTAGAATTTTACGGGGCGATTCCATAAAGTCGTGCAAACGACCGTGCAACGGTTACGATGTGCCGTTCGCTCGAGTTCTTCGACACAGTCTATTCTCGATATTTATCGTGGATCCAACGTTCTACAGAACTCTCGCGTACTTTACAGACATGTTCTTCGATCGTCCCGAATCGCAGAAACTGTTATCTTCGGTCGCATATGTGTCTGAAAACAAAGAGCAGCAGACTTCGATTCAGATTCAGGTACTATGTTTTAAATTTTAAATAATACCGGAAGGATAATCACTACATCATTTTTAACGAGGTCCTCTGAGAATGTATTTTATGGCCGAATTTTATAGTGATATTCTTATTGCATCAATTAAACATATTGGTAATTGTTTCAACCAATCATCTATTTTAGATTGTGGATTTCGTCCACCGTTGTCCAATTTTCGTCACGAATTTTCTATTTTATTCTGAACCCACTATTTAAGAGAGATTCTAGGATTGATCTTGTCTTACTTTAGAAAATTGTATTTTCCATAGAAATCCACAGTCTACAAAGACCATAGTCTGCACAATTCAATTAATCTCTTCTACAATTCCCAGCATTCACTCACAATCCCGTATCTAAATAATAATAACAATCATAACTTGTATTTAAAAAAGCCAATATCTACTTGTCAATCGCAATTCTGGATTGCCACAGCATACTTTAATCAAGATGAATTTTAAAAACACTAATCGAAAGGAAGATCTCGATACTCTGGAGGAAAAGTGCCCTAAACGGATTCGTGCAGATTAATCATCGCGGAGTATCACATAAAAATTATTCCTCTGAATGTATTGAGCATTCCGGGCGTAATTCAATGTGAATCCGCTCGGTAGCATCCACCCAGCCTCCCCGCTCGAAACGCTCGTCCCAGTCAGTCATGACGGAGCTATATCTCTCTCGCGGATGACGTCATGCGGGTAAGGATGAGCGGAAAAACTGATTACGTATTCATACCCGACGATGATTCCGATTTTTCCGAGCCATTAACCGCCGCTCGCCCCACCCGCAAAGCGATGTCGCTCGAAACAAGGGACGACAGGTTGAAAATGATTACCGTGGATGACCTTCGCGCGTCTAATGGGGCCGCAGACGTGCATTCGGTGTATAAATTTCGTTACACTAATCTCCTTTCGTAGTTTCCACCGTTTTCATCCCCCTGATCGGGGGAGGGGGGGTGTTCGTGGCGCTCCGAAAGACGGAAGCAAGGAGCACGAAGCAAAGGACACAGGAAAGTCTTCAGGTACGAGCAATCGTGTATAATTTCCGCGTGGTCTCAAGTTCTACGGTCGGAGACCCACAGAGCGAGACGATATTAAATTTCTTGTCAAAATATTTCGTGAAATCGGGGGTGCCAGGGCACACCCTCCCTTATTCGAACGTTAATCGGTAACGGGAGACTTTCCTTTTCCCGAAACTCGATTCCCCGTGCACGCCCACCACTAAATTTTAAATCGTCGTGCTTCACGGCGGATCAGGGATCCTTAGAATTCTTTTGCCATTGTGCGCTAGATACCAGTCAATTACTGTCTTTCGAACTCTGGCAAATGATCACTGGATGAGTTTCAGAATGAGATTTCGGTCCAGACGATTCGTTCTTCGATTATTGTATTTTACCTTGATTAAAGGCATTTTAGTGAAAGTATAATAACAATTCTAGTTATTTGTCATCGAAGGTGCTTCATAAAAGCATTGTATGAAAATGGAGACCATTCAGGAATCACAGTGTTAGAATCTAGTAAAAGCTCCAAATGCGAGTGCCAAGAAGACCAAGAAAAAAATTAGAATCTTAACATCTTGCACGCCTTAACCCCTTCGCAACGGTGGACGAGATATCTCGCTACGTAATTTCGTTCGTGATATGCTTTGGACGATCTCGTGAAAGCATATCATGAACGAAATCACGTGGCGAGATATCTCGTCCACCGGTGCGAAGGGGTTAAAGATTTCACGAGTTCCAAGATTCAATCGTGTTACATAACGAAATATATTCTACTAACATTCGATATTCATACATAATAACAGAAAATGAAAAAAAAAACTACTAAATGTACCCTAAAAAATAAAGCGATTCTTTTACTTCCGATAAAACCAGCAATAACAATAAAATAAGAGACGCAAATATCTATCTAAGGTGCTCCCAAAGTCTACCAAATGGAAATTATCTTCACCAGAGTCTGTCAATAATAGAATTCAGACCACAAAGCCCATTCACCTCAACGATTCACCTAACTCCAACAAAAACAAAAAAATTAAAAAAATTAAAATAACAGTCGTTCATCACGACGAAGGACAGGGCGGGTCGTAGCCGTGAGAAACGCGTCGCCACGGAGGACAGGGATTTTATTGGCCGGCGTTCCCGTTGCGTGAGCAGGAAAACGAACGGTTTGCCATCAGGATTACGAAGGATTCCGTCGAGGACGGGAGAGGCGTTCGTAACGAGCAGCTTTCCGACAGAATTGGTTGTTTTAACAACTGCGCGCCACTTTGAGCCGCTAGGTAAGAGGACCTGCTCTGCCCTGGAAAAGGGTACACGCCGGAGTGCCGAAGGAACGGGAGGAAGGGGGGGGGGGGGGAGGGGTAGCAAGCAACAGAAGGAAGAGAGAAAATGCGCGGTTTTCGCGAGGACACGCCGTCGTAATAGTCCAATTTGCCGGCAAAGGAAAATACCGGAGGATCCCGGGGAGCAAAAGGAGACTGGCACGGCCCCCGGGGGTGATGCCAGCGTAGCTCGGAAAAGCCGGCTGGAAAATTGGAGACGCGGCGAAACATGGAGCAAGGAAGCCCTCCCTGTGAAAGACCTGTTTTCCGCGAGGAGGGCACCCTACTTTTACTTCGGCCTCGGTTTACGGATGTCAATTATACCGGGCGTGCCCGCCCCCCTTGAAGAAAATGGTCTGCGCGGGAATGGGGATGGTTTTGGAGCCATAAAGCGAAATGGAAGAGATCCTTATCGACATAATATCGGTGAATATGCCTCTTGTCGACGTGAAATATATTCATCTTTACCAAATATCACCCCCGATAAACGTATTTTTGTGAATTTTTATGATTGCTCTTTGGTAAATTTCATTCCGGACGTTGAGTTGTAAAGTTTCGAGTGCATTTTAATGAAGTCGTGTAGTGATAATTTATTGTTTGGTGTAGAATGGATTTTATATCGATGATAATGGAAAGATTGGAAGAAAATTGTTTGGTTTACTGTATGTGGTCTCTACTATCCGAAGAAAATTGCTTGAAGAAGTGAACAGTACATTCATGTGACCCGAAATATCGCACCGGAAATTTTCTTCTTTGGACTAGATGGATTTCGGAACGTAAGGGAGGGAAAAGTGTCTCCAGCGGAGCGGCTTCCGTGAAAATTCAGTTTTCTGGCGGCTGTGAAACGGAATTGTCGTGCGGACTTCGGTTAGTTAAACTTCGAGAGCAAAAAATGAGAATTTCCCTTCTAGGTAGGTGCTTGTTGCCATTCTTGTAGCAATTTTTCAATTCGTATCGAATTTTCACAGTGTAAAAGAACGAGTCAAATTCAACGCAGTAGAGCTGACGTTTCTTACAGAAGAACCTAATAATCGAATTAATTGAAATAACTATTAACCAGAGAAAATCGTTAAGAAATGAGAAGATACTGAATTAGGTGCAGAAACTCAATTACAATTAAGGACGAATGTGATTAAATTAATCGCGAAGATCCTGTTATCCCTTCTTTTTCTCGTTCAATTACTCGTCGAATCGAAGTATCGACGTTAGTGGACCCTAATTAATGGGAGTCTAACTCGTTCGATTGTCTTCGTTTCGAAGTAATTATAATTCTTACTCCTCTTAGGATGAACGTGGATAATAGAGGATAATTTTCGTATATAACGCTTTTAATAACACAGATTATCCAATCAGAACATTAAGAATCTATTTCCTATTCAAACATAATTTCTTCATTCGTTACATTGTATCCGCTACAAATCATTGTAATTCTACAAATTCTAATTTTATCACCCTCTGAAAACAATTGAAAAAATCCTACTCACATTGCCATTATAACAGAAACAATAATAATCATTATTCTGATTGTACTCCATACATTTCTGTTCAATCGATATTACTATTTTCTGCAAATCTAATACAACATAAATAATCACTAATAAATTACAATATTTGTTGCATATTGGACATATTTTTTTATTATAAGAATATTTAGGGGTAGGTTTTATAGAAACCGAGTCGAACTCTTTGCATCTCAATCTTATTATATTTATCATCTGTGACTATTCTTTCTGACCAATATCATCTATGCAGTCTAGGACGTGTTTCCAAAATATATTAACGTGCCTAAGATACTGTGGATCGTCAGAGGAACGTCTATTGCCAGCATAATCGACGAAGACTCTGGCATCGATATAAATATCCCAAGACTACCATCGTCGCAATCTCTCGTGGCTCTGAAATCCTTCAACCTTCACCAGGTATCCCCGGTGTCCGATCCAATCATCTCATTTCCCGCGGTATCGATTTCACCGGCAGCTAGAAATTTCCTCCGTGAAAAGAAGCGGCCGAGACAAGCTCGTTCTATCGAGCGAACCGGGAGGGAATCACGGAATTGGGGAAGACGGAGGAAAGAGGAGAAAAGGCTGCCTTCTGTAAACGCCTTAAATCGCGCCACGGCCTTGTCAGACCGATGGTACGAGGCCAGAAAAGCAGATCGACGGTTT